TTAATATGTCTTTAATATTAATTTGTTTTTTTCGTACTAACATTTTTTTTTTCTCTTGTTCAATTTAGGAGGGGTCCAAATTCCCAGAGATTGACGTCTTTGGTGACGTTTATGTTCGACTTGGGAATGAGTTGGCGGAGTCCCTTCATGTAAGTAGTCTTTAATTTTAATTATTATCTTACGCGTTCAAGTTTCATGGTTATTATATGAATGTTTTAATTAATATTTTATGTTATGTTAAACAGACGACCATGATTGAGAATAGCCAGTTGGTTCTTCAGGAGTCCGCCTCCCAGCTTCCTCCTGATATGCCGCTCGAGTCCGTGGCTCCTCCACAGGATGCGGGGTTTCAGATCTTGACGGAAGCCTTGGATCAGACTCTCGGGAGGCGGCCAGGGACATACTGTCAAGGGATGGGGAATGCCCGGCGGCGGGAACCTAGACCCCGTTCATCGGCCCAGTCAAACAGTGTTATGACAGCAATGATGGCCCAGTTTGAAGCCCGAATGTCCCAGATAGACCAGCTTCAAGCCCGAGTGGCCCATATGGACCAACTTGAAGCCAAGGTGGCCCAGATGTCCCAGCTTGAAGCTCGGATGTCCCAAATGGATTAGTTTTTAAAGTCCCTCTCCCAGTCCGGCATTCCTGTACCGTCTTTTGCTCCCCCTTCCAACTCGAGCATGGCCACCAAACCTCTGCCCCTGTCCACAATGTCCAGATCGGAGACCAAGTAGATTATCAAACAATGTTTGATTAGTTTTATACTTTCTTAATTACATTTTAAAACATTTCTCTTGTATTTTACTCTATATTATGTTATAACAAAAAATTTCTCTTGATTACATTTTTTTATTGTAATTTCATTTAATTATAAATTTTTAAAAAAAAAGTAATTTAATTACTAATTTTGAGCGAAGAAAATAATAGTCGTCGCGCAAAATCATTTAAAGGAAAATACAAACCCGTATAACTAAATTATAAAACAATATATTTTACGTTTGCGCGAAGAAATATTTCGTCCCCTTATGGAAATGCGACGAGTACAATTTCGTCGCTTAGTATTTGCGCGACGAAGATACATCGTCGCATTGTGTTTCTGCGACAACTACTTATTCGTCGCACAAACAATTTGCGCGACGACATAAGTGTCGTCCCTAAAATGGTTGTGCGACGCAGATAAATCGTCGCACTATGTTGGTGCGATGTTTAATGATTCGTCGCGCAATGGGTTGAGCAACGAAAGAAAGACTGTCCCAAAACCGTTGGTGCAACGAAGTTCACTACGCGACGAATGTACATAACGTCTGTCGCGCAAAGTCTTTCTTTACGATCTTTGCACGACTAATTTTGCGCGACGCTATTGCTGTCGCGCTGTTATTTGTGCGACTGATTTGTTGTTTGAGCGACTAATTAGTATTCGTCGCGCAAACTGTAAAATGTGGTAGTGCTAACAATAATTCTTGGTCATGTTCGTCAAAAAAATTTATTCATAGTTTCGAATTTTTTTAGGTTTATCATAGCCTATTTTAAATTTATTAAATAAGTAGTACAGAAAACAAAAACAAAATTTAGGTAAAGAGATTGAGCAGATAGAACTTTCTCAATTTCAACAAACTTATCAATAGAGGGTTAGTAAATTGAATATAGAACTTATCAATACAGGGTAAATAGATGAATGCCTAGAGATGTGGCTCAATAAGTTAAAAAGTTGAAACTCACACAAGGATAAAATCTTGGGTAGGGCTGCCTGATCACATGGGTTGTGCGCAATTGTAGTCACTAAAAGAGTAGGGCCATTGCACTTTGGTCACATTCAACCCTACTTAGTCCCAACCCTATGAGTATAAGAGAGTTGTCGTATGCGGTAGTCTTACCCAAACATGCCTCTAACACGAACAGTCCCTACTTTGCACTTTGCTTTTCACCATAAGAAATGTGAAGTTTCAAAGACCAAAATATTCGATAAAAGAAAATAAAAGGAATTTGACAAATTATATGTTCACACTCATAAATTTGTTTGTAATAAAATGACAAGTAAAATTTTTCTCTTCACAAATGACAACTAAAATTACCACAATGAGGTGAATGGCTTATATATAAAAAAGTAAAAATAAAAGTATATCAATTTTTTGGACACTTGAAAAGTATCATTAAACACAACTTCACACTCTCACTTCACCCATACCTGTAACTCTGTTCTAAATGACATAAATCTACCTAGGTTGTGTGAAAGGACCATGCAGGAACAAATCGACATTTTTTATAATTTGAGGAGGAAATGCAAGATTTTTTTGTATATTTTTGCAATTTTTATTTGTGTGTTTGCTTTAAAAATTTTAAGGTTCGTGTCACACCTGGTAAAAAAACATGAAATATAGCGTATTTGAATATTGTCACTACATATCTGCCATTAGATTCAGTCCCATCAGAGTCCCATCTAGTGAATGCACCAGTAGTTTTGATTTTAAGCGTTTTACTTCCATTTGCCCCTTTTAAGGTTTGATCAATTCCTTGAAAAAATTCCTCAACCGAACACTCCCTCTCCTAACCCTAAGTCCACCCTTTCACACTAGTACTCTCTCAACAGCAGTTTACACATTTCAGCTTGCTGTACTGAGACACCTTTTGCATGATGCATAGCCCACGTGATTGAGAGTAAAGTCCCAACATTGCGCTAGCCCATATATAGAACTATTTTTTGTTGTTATAGATTTAGATTTGTCACCAACGATTTCACTTCGATATCCAGAATCTGGAATTTCTTCATATAATCTTTATGTCAATAATGTAATTAAGTTTTTCTCAAAATTCCCATTGGGTAGAAATTCTACCTTATTGAAACAGCTATGCCGCAAAACAAGAGGTCCGATACATGAGGTATTCCGTATTCTTTAGGAATACAAAGAAAGATCAAAGACTCAACAGAATCACTGGGTTTCAGTAAAGACTCAACAAGAGGTGCGATACATGAGGTATTCAATAGTTTGAACTAAAGTACAATTTTTGTTTTTGACAAGCACATATATATATATAGATGATAATCACGATTTTGCCCTTAGGTTTATTTAATATTTATAGCACACATTGTTAGTGTATTAGTGTTATACCTGTTATAATATAATTAGAAGCTAGCGTTAACTTTTTCTCGTTGACTATAACATATTAGTTGTATATTAATTAAAGAATTGGCCAATTTGTTTCATGAAAGGCTAATTCATATATATATATATATATATATATATATGAATTTTTTAACTAATTGTTACAAGCGATATTTAGAAAGATGGGAATCGAATGTAAAACTTGAATGTATAGATAAACATTCTTAATCACTTGAACTATAAATTCCTTATTATTTTTATAAATGAAAACAAGTGGTACAAAACGGCTACATATAAGGCTTGGAAATTACTTGCGTGGGGAGGGGTGGCGTGTAGTCCTCTTTACTTCTAGCGGCATAATTGGAATTTAAAGTAACAATTCACTTAAAAATGGACCGGAAGAACAACAACTCATATCCGGATGGGCACTGTGCAACTGCTTCATATTAAACAAAAGAAACTATATGATAAGAGTAAAATAAAATAGAGGTACCTTAGAGGGTTTATCTATCGAACCCCTGAGTTTAAAATGCTGGCTTCTTTTGTTTTATTTGTTTTTTGTTTTTATCTATCGAGCCCTTGAGGTTACTACAACAAAATGCTGGCTTCTTTTGTTTTATTGCGAACCGCAACTTTTGCTGTAGTAATAATAGTGAACATTATTGGTGGTTCTACCATGTGCATATACTGCTCTTGCTTTTCAAGTTTGAACCAAGAGTTTTGTTCACACTTCACGTATTCAAATACCAGCGAGTGGTCTCTGTAGTTTGAACTGTGACATTGCTGTGTCTTGGCATTACGTACGTGTCCCTTATTTTATCTTGGCATAACTCTTTTTGAATCTTAAAAACAAACAGTTTATGAAAGCTTAATTGTCCAAAATGAATCTCTGGATTTATGGCTTATCAACATCAGACCCTAAAACGAACTAATTTCAGTCTAACCCATGATTGTTTCTTCTCTCTTCCTCCAAGTTCTCTAATAACAGTTTTATATAGTTGAAGGAGAATTATAAGCATAATCTTCATTCAATCACCGTTAAGTTTAAAAAGTTACATGTCCACATTGCCGGTACTACCGACATTGACTATCACTATGGTAGGATGGAGGACAAGACTTGGCGAGTCCTTAGTTAATTAGGACTTGGGTTCCTTACTTAATTAGGATTTTGGTTACTTACCAGTTTATTTAGTCCTATTGTAATTAAGGTTTATTTACCCTAAACCTCTCCTCCCCTCCTCTTCAAAAGAGGAAGGGAGAGTGAAAAGGATATGTTTCTCTAGGGCTGATTTTCGAACAGATCAGATCGGAATAAGAGGATTCCAATCCCATTCCAAAAAAAAATCGGAATGAAAATTCTTTTCCAATTATGTTCCAAAAATTTCAGAATTTCAACATCCATTCAAATTC